ATTCCTGAACAGCATATGCCCTGCCATGCTCCTTGTAGGGATTGCTGGGAAAGGTGGACTGGTAACTCCCCCATCAGCCCTTGCCAGCCACCAGCCACCTCTTGTTCACATACAAACCAACACCCAACCAGCATTGTAGGACTGCCCTGCTCACAGTTGAAGGTTCCGGGCCAGTGGAGTTTATTCACGGTTGTGGCCCCAGCCTAGGTTCCTCAATGGAAGCCACACCTTGAGCCTGGGGGTTTCTTGCTGGGGCAGGGGGTGTTTATGCCTGCCACCCCCCAGGCTCACACCTCATAGAGGATCACAGGGAAATCCACGTGGATGCGGGGGGGATCCAGCTTCACGATGCCCTGCCGTGGAAACAGAGGCTAGTGAGGGCCAGCTCAGGGCCCCTACTCCAGGAAGCCTTCCTGTTCCTCCCAGCTCCTCCCCCAAGAGCCCCCACCCTAAGAGCAGACCCCATCTGGGTCTACCTCCACACAATCAACATAGGCTCTATGACCACTGCCCAGCCCCTCACCTGAGGAATCAGGTTCTTATGTACCCGCCTCAGCTTGGCCCGCTTCTGCCCGTTCTTGGTGACGATTGTCTCCTCATAGAACTCGTGAGCCAGATCCCCATCCTCGTCATAGAACATGGAGCTGTGCAGAGGGAGAGGGGAACAGGCTGGGCTGGAGCCCCAACCTAGTCATGGCAAATGCCACAGACCACAGGGAAGTATGCCTTCCCCCAAATGCGGAGGAACAACCTTGGTGGGAGGAAGGGAGGTTAGTATGCCTGGAGAATCCCTTGCTTAGTATCTGGGGTCTACTAGAAGGAAGTGGGGAGTGGGGTGGTGGCCAGTGCTACTCTGTCAGATAATGAGGAGAGGCCATACCAAAAAATCACTGGTTTGTTCAGCAAGAGTAGCCGTTCCATCAGGCCCTTGCCTTCACCCAGGGCTTCTAGAGTGGGCAGGATGGTGGCCTCGGCATGTTGGTCTCACTCCAGAAGACACTGCTGGCCCAGGGCCAAAGCCTGAGATAGCAGATGCCTGAGCTAGGAGGGAGCCTAAAGGGAAAAAACCTGCATCTTCCCCCATCCAGGTGGCTGATGCAGCCAAACTGCCACTGTTGGGGTCCCCCTAGTATCTACAGCCAAATCTCCAGCATCACCTGAGTGTCACTCCCCAGGGCCCATCACAGCCAGGCCAATCTAGTGCTCCTGTCTGGGCCGCTTGAGGGAGGGGGGAGGTCAGTGCTCCAAATCTGGGAAACATACCTGGGTGAGGGTCTTTTTCCCCAGGCCCCATCCCCAACGCTGGGGACCAGTCCTGCTTTCCCGGCCACTACCCAGAGAGGTCCAACCCCACCACTGTGGGGAACGGAAACAGACAAAACAGAGGGTCATTCTCCTCGAGGGAGAACTGGAGGTGAGGGAGGATAGAAGCCTTCAGCTTGCAGGCTGGGATGGATGGGATGAAAGGAAGAGGTTCTGAAGTCTCAGGGAGGTCCTATCTTAGCTTCACCGTGAGGAGGGCCTGCCCAGGGACAAGCCTCAGGCCCACTCTTCTCCTCGGGAGACCTTCAGAGCAGCCAGGCCGCCAGGAACCGACTGCTCGGCTTTCCCCACCCCTTGTTCCTCTGGGAGCCTGAAATATGAGAATAGTCCTGACTCGGGTGTAGGGGGTACAGCGGCGGGAGCGCCCCAGGACGCGGGGCACCCAGCCGCCCGTCTGTCCTCCCGGGGGCGGAACCCCACGCCCTTACCCGCGGCGCGTGAATACGAAGGGGGGTACGACTCGGCCTCGCGGTCGCACCAAAGCTTGCTCAGCGACAGCCGCCTCCGGGCCGCCGCCCCCCGCCGCCGAGGCGAAGGGCCACAGGCCCCGAGCTTTGGAGCCGCTGGCGCCCATGTCAGGGCCGCCGGCGCATGGCGGGCCCCGCGGCAGCTTCGCTCTCACAAGACCGTCCGCGCCGCCATGCCCCGCCTAGGCCTCCGCTCCCAGGTGCCGCCACCGCCTTCCGCAGGCTCCGCTGTCTCCACGGAAACCTCACTTCCGCTTCCGAACACTGCATATGCTGCTGCCTCTGATTGGCTGCTTCTCTCGTCGGTCCGCGGGGCTGGACTAAGAGCTGCCCTCAGATGCTAGGTATCCCAGCATGCACTGCGAGACGTCAGGTCCCAGCAGGCCACGCCCTCTCCAGCTGGGGCAGCTCACAGCCTGGAAAGTGGTGGCTGTGTCCTCCACCTGGTTTCTTCAGCTTGTACTGCGGCTCTGAAGTCCCCGACCCCCAGAGGTCAGGCTCAGTGAGCCTGCCCAACCAAAGCAGCACTTTAGGGCCTGACCCTAGGCCAGTTTGGGCAGTGCCCGTCTGCCCTCATTCTATCCCCACACCGTTTTTACGATCCCCACTGTGGCACGTGGCAAAGAAACTGAACCTAAGGAAAATTAAGGAATTGGCTTAATGTAGTTGTATATCTACATTCAGGGCTGAAGAACTTCAAATTCAAAATTCTTTCCAGATCCACCAGAAGCCATGCTTCATGAAGGCAAGAGTTAACATATCTGTACCTTCGGTGCCATGAGCAGTGTCTGATCCACAGTATTTATCTCAATATTTGGTGAAGCGCTTTCCACAGCTTCGAGTGTGTGGTTTCCTTAAGCTCTGGCTGCAGCCGATGTTCCTTCCCCCACCACGACCTGAGCCCCGGGGTTTGAGTGATGACTCAGTACATATCTATACACCACATCCTTCACAAATTGGTCCCATGGTCCCACTTGAAAAGGTGCTCGGAGCCTGTCCATCAACCTTGGCAGCCACTGGCTTGAGGGGCAACTGCAGATGAGGGCCCATAATAAAGAATCCAAAAGCAGGAGAATTCTTAAATCTTTATTTAGCCAATTCTCTCAGACCCCAGGCCCTGATGACTGTCACCCCCACCCCTTCCCCCACAGGAGGCATTCAACTGAGGCCACAAAATATTACATACATTCGCACACATCATCAAAAATACCCAAGGGAGAGACCCTGGCTTTGACTGGCAAACAAGGCACAGACCTGGGACAGTGCCCATACTCACACAGACCCTGGCACAGGGACATCCTCCTTGGAGGAGGCAGAGGCACTGTTGTTGCACCATGAGCCAGCACTCCCTGACCCCAGGGTGTGTGAGGAGTCAGAGGGTGCTGTAGAGGGAACCCTAGACTCTTTCTTGATGCCTGTCTTACCTTGAACACCCACCCTCGGTTCTGATAGGACTGTCCTGAGACCCCATCCAAGACCCGAAACACACAACCTTTCACCATAGGTGAGGGCCCTCATCCCTGCAAACATGACCCTATTCTGTTTGTAGGGTCTCCAAGATTCTCATATCTGAGACACAAGTTAAGGAGACTTCTGTCTCCTCTACCCCTGCTGCAAGCCTGAAGCAGCTTCCCAGGGCAACCCTGGCCCACCGTGACCCAGTACACAAAGGGCAGAAGGATGTAGAGCCATGCTCTGCTACACCCACTGGTGGACACAGGGGGCCAGCTCCTTCGCTGTTCTCTGGGCTCATTCCCCCAGCAAGAGAGGGCCTCCATGCACACTCATTCCTCGGGCCACGTGGCCCTTTGCACACTCACACGGCAAGCCCTTGCCTACTCTCCTCCTTCCACCCAGGGGTACGAGAGGTCACCCCAGGGGGCAGGCATGCAGGGCTTCCTGGATCTTCTGGCGGCAATACGAGTACTTCTGCAGGATCTGGCGGAGATGTTCCTCTTCCTCCCGCTGCAGGATGCGTAGGAAGTTGTGTAGCTCAGGCATGCTGAAAGCATCCCACTGTAGGGGGAGAAGGGAGACACAGGCTACAGCAGGCCACTGCCAAACCAGCAGGCTCTCCCCAAAGAACACCAGTGCATCACGATCACACAACTAGGATGGGGCTTTCTAATGTCAGGTTCTTGCCTGAATGGTCTGTGTTAGGATTCCCAACAACAATCCATATAGAAGATGGGCCCCACAAAGTAGGGCAGTCACCTCGTGGACAGGCAACCAAACCAAACATCCCTAGTTACTTTTGAACAGGTCATGCCCACTCTCTCTGGAAGCTGTACAGCTTCCAGGTAAAAGGTTCTAATGCCTGAAGGGGGTGCCTGCATGTTGTCCTGTGCCCATCTGTGTGGCTTTGACCTGGCCTGAGATCAGAATGCCATCAGATGGACTCCTGCATCTCCTGAGGACCTTCTACAATAGGAAAGAGCGGTGCACCGAGACAGTTCTTCCTGGCTTCTTGGGACAAGCCCTAGACCTTGGCATGAGTTTCCTGGAAGCCTTCACTTTAGCTATAAGGCTCATGTACTCCTGGAGAGGCTTTGCAGGGCTTGTCTGCAGCCCTATTCCTCCTTCAAGCCTGCAACCCACCAGTCCTGCCCAGTCACAACCAAGAAACTAAGGAGGGCTGTTACTCACGTTCACCTCCCCAGAGTCATTCTCCTTCAGGACAAAGCTTAGGGCCTTCTCACTGGGCCCTGCAAGGAGCCGTAGCCGTAGGGGCTGCTCATCATCTGACAGCTTCCGGAGGTACACTGAGAGCCAGGCAGGGGGAAGGGAGTGTTTGATTAGAGGCAGGCCCAGCCCCCTCAGCTCCTGCGTGCACAGGCACATGCATATATACCCTCACACATGGTGGGGTGGGGTGGGAAGCCCACCTTGGCCATGGCGCTCAGCCCGCTCAAAAAGTGCAAACTTGCGGGGGTCATCCACCACCAAGAACTTGCGCAGCAGGGCCTCGATGACCTCACGTGCCCGTGTGCGTGACAAGACATGCAGGTGCTTGACAGCATCCTTGGGCAGGTAGAAGGAGGTGCGGCGTTTCACAGCTGTACCCCGCCCTGGGCCCCGCCGGGCATCCTGCAAGGAGGGTGGCTTCTTGCTGGCGGGAACTGAGACAGGGCGCACCAGCTTCAGTTGAACCTTGATGAAGCCTGTGTAGGAGCCATCCTTGTTCTAAAGAGGAGAAACCAAACCATGACTAAATGCCAGATGAGATGGAACAGATTTGGGCACTACCAGTCCACTTGGGGCTAGGCTGGGTATGAATAAATCACTGCTTGGGTCTACCCAAGAATACCTCAGCTGTGACCCTTTGGGCATCAGGCACACAGTTGGGTTCCTGTCTCTCTCCAAAACAGGCTGCCAACTCACCAGGCTCATGAACAAGTTGCTGTTGATCTGGCCATTGTACTCCTTGATCTTCTGCTCAATCTCAGCTTGAGAAAGGTCAGGTGTCTCCCACTCCACGGGCTCATCCTGAAAGATGGGCAAGCATGGACATAGGATCCTTATGAAACCCATTCCTCTGCAATGCATGTCACGGGCAAGGGGGTAAGCCCTGGGTGGACCACTCTGAAAAATGGCCTGTGGGCAGCCTTTGGAAACTGACAACAAAGTTTGAGGTCTGATGAGAAGAACCCATCACTGCCCCTGGTTCTGCAGGCTACGGGTGGAGACAGCCAAGGCAGAATCATTTGGCTTCTCTCTGCCACCTGCCTGGAGCCTCCTCAGCACTGGGTGAGGCCCTAAGGATACCTTAAAACCAAGGCAACTAAAAACACGAGGCTAGGAGCCAGGAAAAGATCAGGGACTCTGAAAAGGAACAGCTTGATCCCAGCACCCTAGTTGGATGGGGTCAGGGTGTATCCTGGAGAAGACAGTCCACTTTGCCACTCTGCCTTGGCCATGGCCCACTGCAGGGTGAGAGGTATGGGGAATGGTGCACACCAGGAGCCCAGCCACCAGTGGGCAGGAGGAGAAGGGCAACATCTACAACCTTAACCTCCCTGGTGGGGGACTTGGGCCAGCCCTGCATATCTCAGACATAGTGAGGGATCCACTATGACATGCCATTTGATCTTGACCCAATCTGCACAAAAGGCAGCTTCAGGCCAGGCTCCAATCTGCCAGAAGTTGGCATGGGCAGCCTCCTGGTAAAGCCTGTCCCACAACTGCCAAACAGGGAGGCTTATGTACCTCCTCTCTGCTGTCTAGAGGTTTAGCCCAAAGGTGTTAGCTTTACCACTCAGCCCTTCCTCTGTTCCTCCAGGGACTGGATTCTTGTCTGAAGGGTGGAGTATGGGCCAGGGCTTCTGCCAAACTCCCTTGGTCTCATTGCATCACCCTTACCTCCTGTTGACGTCAGATAGGCCCTAGTAGGAATGAGAGTGTCACAGACACAGCTGAGATCATCACTGACCAATGCCTTGTCCCAAGGGAGTTCCCATCAGAAGGTCTCCTGCAGAATAAGCTTAACCTTGTGCTCAGCTCTGAGCCCAGGACAGCCAGGCTTCTTCCTGACTACTGCCTTGGAGCCCCCTAAACTTAAACCATCTCATGGGGGCAACAGGAAGGACAGATGAGGGGGTAGGGTAGGGTAGAGTCCACAGCCTTTTAGCAGTACGCTCTTTACCTAGAACCTGCTGCTGTTCAGTGGCCAGCAAGTACATGGCACTGAGGACTGAGACTGGGGCAGGGGTGGGAACTGCACCCTATTTGCTTCCCCAAGTTTCCAAAAGTCTCCTAGATGGAAAAGAGCATTTAGAAGTGAAAACTCTAGGGACTTCCCTGGTGGTCCAGTGGTTAAGGCCCCATGCTCCCAATGCAGGGGGCCCAAGTTCCATCCCTGGTCAGGGAACTAGATCCTGCGTGCGGCAACTAAAAGATCCCGCGTGCTGCAACGGAGATCCTGCATGCCACAACTAAGACCTGGAGCAACCAAATAAATAAACAAATAAATATTCAAAACAAAACAAAACAAAAAAACTCTAGCAGAAACCTTGTTGGAGACAGTGGGAAACCCTGTAGGACTAGTAAGAACAAATGGTCTGGACCCTGGAAAACAAGGGATCTGGGAGGTAAAATAAGGGCTGGAGGTTGGGAATAAAGGGTGGATGTGTTTGTTCAGGCCCAAGGAGAGGGCCTGAGACAGGAAGAAGTACCCCAGTGGGAAGGAGTGTCAGGATGGAAGGGGTGCTAGGGGCAGGAGGAAAGCTGAGCAGACTAGTGCCAGGGCAAAAAGGAAGAGAATTCTACTTACAGAACAGGGTGATCAAAGAGATGGCACTAACTCATTCCCCTTCCTTGTGATGGCTCTGAGCTCTAGCCTGGGTCCTTCCTCTTCCCTTCCTGGGTTATCCAGGAGCCCTGAGCTGGGATGCAGTGACCTCAGTTCCAGCCCTTTCCCTTCTCCAGGTGAACCTCCCTCAGTATCTTTATTTATAAAACAAGGGACTTGGACTGGAGGTACTGCACTGTCCTCCCAGGATTCTAGAGGAGGAATAGCATCTTTTCCCATTTTCTGAAGCTGACTGCTGGAGGAGGATTCCAACAGCTGTCCCAGAGGGATACCATGGAATTTCCCTTCTGCGACACTATAGCCGCCCACCCTCTACTCTGCCACTGTCCATAGTGACTGATGGTTTTATTTTACATACAACTTGGGACTCCCCAGCCTCCTTTTCAATTGGTTAGTGTCTTGTGGTTTTCTCACCTTTCCACAATGGAAGATGGCTCAGGCCTGAGTGACACACGGACAGTCCCAGGGATCCACACTCAAACTTTGCACCCAAACTCTGGGCTCAGCTTTCCAGGTATAGAATTTTCCCCTCAAGAGTTATCCACAATTCCCTTTTCTTGACTCATGTAAGGAATTCTGCCCCACTGCTGCCAGGTATACTGAACTTCACTTCATAGTCCCCATCTCTCTTTCCTGATGCCCTGACCAAGGTGCTCTTCTGAGGTGTACCATCTCCGGAACAGTGATCTGAGCCTGGTGGCCACATTCATGGCACACATCACAGAGGTCTCTGATAATGGGGACACCTGGGAGACTCCAAGAGGCACAGCTGCTCCAGCACTGCAATTTATAGTCCTGGATTAGTAACCGCTATCTCTCTTGACCCCTCTCAGGGCATTTTACAATCTAGCCTTCCCCACCTCTTGCGGATAAAGTGCTCCTGGATGCTTACAGTCCAGAACAAGGCTTCCTTCCCATCCATTCCCAGATCCCCTTTCGCCAGGTCCGCTCTAACTTTACTATATATGCTGCCCAAGCGAGCACTCCTGGTCCACTGCAGAGGAGGGGAGGCTCAGAATCTTCCACAGTCCAGTAGCTGGTGACAGGCCAGGACCGGCAAGAGATGGGGACCAAGCTGCCTCCATCCAGGAGTGCAAACGGAGGGGCCTGGACCTTTCCTTGCCTCTCTCCTAAACACACTTCTCAATTCCCGGCGAGGACTCCTCCCCCTCCGCTTCCTCCTCGTCCCCCAGAGAGGGGGTGGGAGCGCCCGCACGCGGAAATAGAGGTGTTAGTCTAGACTGCGCAGTCAGCCTTAGTAATCGGTGGATAATGCCTGTCCCTGGTCTACCCCATGCCACTTAGCTGCTTCCCCTGGTTCAACCGTTCTGTGACAGAAACAGCAAGGCCTCAGCTCTCAGTACCGACGCGCTGAAAGCCCAACACACGGTTCCGAGGGCTGGCCCACGCTCACGGCAGGCAACTCGACCCAAGGGCTGCCCACAAGCTCTCGACCAGGCAACTTACCGGGGAGGAGCGGGGTCCCAGCGACCGCCCCCAGCCCGCTTCCCGCAACTCCCGGCCCCCACCTGATCCCGGCGCGGCCTGCGCGCCAGTGAGGTACGCGCTGTGAAGTACTGCTCGAGCTCTGAGTCCGAGTCCTCCTGGCTGCAGTAACCACTGCTTGTCGTGCTACTCCAGGTCATCTCGAAAGAGGGAGTCCCCGCGTCCGCCTCGCCCATCGCCGCGCCCGCCGGTTCCAGTGCGCCCGTAGCCTCCCACCACCGCCCCAGGCGCGTGTGCGCGTGCGCCGGAACCAGTGTCCCCGCCGCAACCGTTAACACTGAAACGTAGACAGCGCGGATCTAGCGCTCATCTCGTTGGAGGACGAATGTCGAAGGGCGGGGCCACACGCGCCTCGCCTCCAGGAATGATCTCATCGCTCTGGCAGCTCAGCTCAGCTCCTCCTCGCAGGCCCCACCTCCCAGAGGGAACTAGTTGGAACGTGTGCGCATGTGCACCAGCGTGGCCTCAAGACCGGATGCGGCTGTGGGAAGGTGCGGAAATTGTGCTTGCTCGGAGGCTCGGTGGCTCCGGGCGGTAAGGGCCGAGTCAGCACCACCGGCACCCCTTCGAGCCCGCGCGCAGAATTAGCTACTCTCTGCCGCCGGGAAGTCGGCTATCATAACGTTCATTGCGCGTAGCGCCAGGCGGCCCTAGGGAACGCCTGCAGTGTGGCCCGCTCGTCTGCGCATACCTGCCTTGCCTGTAAGCTCCCCGGTCCCGCGCTCACCACATTCGTGTCCCGCTCCAGCGCCGGTTCCCAGCCCAGGTCCCGGGGTCCGCAGCAGTCTAGGCAGACGAGCGCGCGGCAACGGTAGTGGCAGGTGAACTTGCAATCTGCAGAGAGGGCTGGCCGTGAGGCGGAGGAACCCCAGCACCAACTCGGAGAAGCGTCCCGAGGGCAGAAGCGAAGCCCCGGGGTGAAGGCCGTTGTTCGCGGTGTTCTGCATGATCGGCCTTTTTTGAGGCCCCGTTACCGCCCACGGCTACGCAGATCTTAGTGTTGGTCCCCCGGCGTCTTGAAACTGGCGGGAAGGCCTCAGGCGGTTAGGGATCCAGGCCTGCTCAACAGTTGCATTTCTAGAGCCTAGGGCAGAACTTCCCCCTTCCTCATTATCAGCGTCCCTCCCTCCGCCCATTTACTTGAAGGGAAAAAATTAAAAACTTTTTTAACCCAGTGTCCCCGCTCTAGTTGTCATTTGTTTCTACTCCCCTCACACCAAAAACTTACCAACACTGGTCTACAAACACTCTTAATTCCTCGCCTTCACCCTCTACCCATTCCGGTCAGGCTTGCCCCTCCCTCCAGGAAACTCCTGCGCACCGCCGAATCCGGCGGTCCCGTCTCCGTCTTCACCTCCTCAGCATCGTCTGATGCTTGCTCCCGGGGGCCCCCATTACCCCGGTTTTCCTCCCACCCCCCTGCAGCTCCTGCTCAGCTCCTTTAGTTCTGTTTCAACTTCTAGATCTAATGGTGGAGTGTCCGAGGCTCGGTTCTGATCGCTTCCCTTCTCTGTGTACGCTGACCTACCCCAGATCCAAGGCTTCCATCACTGACCTCCCCACTGAGATCAAATCCTATGTGTCACTATCTTTCTTCATTTGGATGTCTAATAAACATTTCAACCCAACATGCCCAGAATTTAACTCACTTTCCTACCCCTTTTAATTCTTCACTTTTCCTCACCCTTACCCTTGCCAGTGTTTCTCAGCTCAGCAAAAGTCGCTACCATTCTCCCAGTTGAGGCAAAACAAAACAAAACCACCCCAACTCATCCTTGATTCCGCTCTTGTTTCTGCCTCTGACACACACCCAAATTGTCTTGTTTTTCATTTCCATGGCCACTTTATTTCTTCTTGGGAACACTGCTGTATCCGAGCCCTTGATCATGCTTTGTATTCTGTCACAACTCCCGTGCTCCTCCCAACTGAATAAAGGACAAATTCCTGTACTAGATGAGAGGGTCTCCAGGCACACACAGTCTTGGGACACCTTCCCTAAGTTCCTAAATGGGCCAGAGCAGTGATTCTCAACCCAGGCTGCACATTAGAAGGATCTGTTTTTAAAAATTGCTGGTACACTCCCAGTGATTGAATCAGCAGGTCTGTGGTAGGGTCCAAGCATTGGAGGGCTGTAAAAGCATTCCAAGTGATTCTAGCTGGTATATAGCCAGTGGGAGAGCAACCTCTGCTTGCTGGTGATTCCTGGGAGGGCAGAAGCACCAGCTAGTGTTTGGCTGTGTTTCATGTTTTAGCACCTGGTTGACTGAACTTGCAATAGGTATCTGCTAAATACTCAAAACTCCTGCTTGCAGGGGGCCCACCCAAGGTTCTGACTTTTTCCAGGCCTTCTCCCATAGGTGAGTAAATTCCCTTCACGGCAAGGATTCTGCAGCAGAACTTGGCGAGTGAATCTTTGGGAAGGGGCGGGTGTGGGAATATGAACTCAGAGACTGGTAGGCACAATGCCTTTCTCAAGAAGGGCCAAGGCACCCTTTAAAATTGAAAGCAGCACCTTGTTATTCACAGGCAACAGCCTCTGCCTATGTCCCAGACACAGGTGGAGCTTGGCAAGGTTATAAACCATCGGCCCGCACTCTCTTATGCTATGGGGTAAAGGTAACGGACCTCGTCCGCGGGAACCGAACCCGCCGACCCCCTCCGTCCCAACGGCCCTCAGCGACGGTGCTGCCCCTTGGCCACCCGTTTGTCTCCCGCCAGCGCACAGGGCCGCTACTCACGTGCGCACTGCAGGCCCTTGCGCACGACGCCCCAGATGAAGTCGCCACAGAGGTCGCACCATGTGTGCGTAGTGGGCCCCGCGGGCTGGAAGCGGTGGCCGCGGCCTGGGACCAGCTGCCTTGCGGTGTTGCGCGCTGTGCCCGGCGCGATGCGCAGCGCGTTAGCACGCTCGAGCCGGGTGCGGCCCGGGGCAGCGCACCGCGCGGGTGCCAGGTCCCGCAGCTCAATGAGCTCAGGCTCAGCGGACATGGCCCTGTCGGGCCGGGAGTCCCGCCGGCTCTGGGCTCAAGCGAGCGCGGGGCGGGCGGGGCAGCGGGGCGGGCCCCGATGCGGTGCCGCCCCCGAGATTCAGGCAGAGCGGCGGGAGAGCGGAGGAGAGAGGCGCAATGGAAACCTGGGCTCCCGGGCTGTGTTGGCCCGCAGGCGGAGTGGGGCGGCGGGTTCAGCGAGGGGCTGCTCTCGCGGAGTCCCCGCCCTCCGTTTCCTATCCTCCTTTCATCTAGAGAGCAACTCCCCTCCCCCTAACAACCACGACGACCTCAAAGGGCCACGCGGAAACAGGCGTGTTTCTGGAAGCTAGCTTTACTGTACTGGAGGAAGAGGGTCCTCACATCCGATCCTTGCCCCCGGCCCAGGCCTCCTGCCCCAGCTTGCTGAGGCTGCACCCTAAGCCTACCCGCCGGATGGAGCAGGAAGTGGTGAGCGCTTTGCTGGGGGAGATGGGTCAGCAGCTCTTCCCGCCTGCTATCCTCACCACCTGGGAGGCTGGGGCCGGACTGAAATCCAGAGGTTCAGGGGCACGGGGTTGTATGGCATGGGTGGTCGGCCCTCAGCAGCTGCAGCCTTCACTTGGCTCTGTCACCCTGGGCTGCCGGGACACACGCCTTTCCATGCTTCTCCCAGTGCTTGACTTGGCACTCCCTGCAGGCAAATGGGCCGGTGAGGATGCCGTGCTATGAGAGGTATGGCAGTGGGACTCAGGGGTCCAAGGTCCTAGGATACCCTCACCTGCAGCAATACCACTCATTCTGGCATCGTGAGCAGCGCTTGGAGGCCTCTGCATTGCAGTAGGCACAGTGGGGCTGCTCTGGAGCCACTGCCTCTAGCACGTCCAGTCTGTAGGTCTCCGCCCACCTGGGAAAAGGGTCAGGAGGACTTGGCTGGACCTGGTGGGTGGGTGGACGGAGCAGCCCTACCCACATCCATGTCTTCTGCCTCCCTTCTACCCTTTCTGCCAGCTCAGCAGGCCTCACCTTCGTGCCTGCAGCCTCAGTTCCTGCTCCGAGGGGCTGAATACATGCCGCAGCTGATGCTTGGCAATAGCCTGCCACTTGCCTCTGTTCTCTCGCTCTAGCCGCTCCCAGATTTCTGGGATCTGAGGAAGAGAAATGGAGAGTGGCAGGGAGGAGCTGGTAAAGTGGGCAGTGGTCCTGAACAACTAACTTCCTAGTGCCTACCTGTTCCAACACCAGGTCCTTCTTAGGGGGCTGGGCTTCGGTCAGGGCCAGGTGGGCCAGGAAACCCTGCAGGTCTGCCAGGTTGGGCAGCTGGTCGAGCAGTGTGTCTGTGAGGAAGGCCCGAAGCTGCAAGGGTGTCCAGGGGAGGCCAGTGTGAAGCGGTGCCAGTCAGAGGGTCGAGGAACAAAGAGGGCCTGAGCTGGGCTGAGCTGAGGGTGCCAGTGGGACCCATGTCCTACTGGCTGCTGTGTCACCTGAGGCCCAAGGTGTGGAGAGAGGGCTGGGGCTGAGGTGAGTGGGCAAAAATAAACATCAAGGGAGGCATGGGGCAGTCCTGGGGCGGTGGTGACTGGTGTGGGAGGAGTTCCCTACCTTGAGTAGCTGTCCTTTGGCAAAGCTTGTGAGGCAGTAGCGGGCCCGGGCCTCAGGGCTTAGCAGCAGATTGTACAGGGCAATCCACACCTGCCCATCCAACTTGCTCAGCTTTTGCTGCTCTGAGGGGGACACTGTCTGCCAACGGCCGCTCTCAAATTGCTGCAGCTTGCCTGGGGAGAGGAACCAGCATACTGTGTGCAGGCGTTGCATGCTCTGTGAGTGAGCCAGCTGTGCGGGCTAGGGACTGACCACTGTCTGGGCACAGGATGTGCCCATGCTGGGGCGCTGCTCACTTCAGAGCAGGGTGAGTCCTCAGTGGTAGACACACAGGCCCTGCCTGCTGCAGAGTCCAGATCTAGGCCCACTTTGGGTGAGGCATCCTGGTATTCTCTGTGGGCAAGGGGGCAAAGTTTTCTGCCTGTGTGTAAGCTGCCCACCCCATCAATCCTGGAGGATGTCCTGGAAGCAGTGAACTGGGGCTAAGGCAGGTGGAGGAGGGCCTTACCGCCTTCCTGCCGGCTCCAGGGACTGTGCTCCAGCAGTTCCACCAGGAGACAGGGCAGATTGTGGGTGCTGAGCATGCGGCTCAAGGTGCTCAGGGAAAGGCTAGGGACGTGGATGGAGAGGTGAGCTGAGGCTACAGGCCCAGGCTACCAGCCCTCCACTGCAGGCCCCAGCTTAGCAGGACAGCTCACCTGTCCACACAGTCTGTGATGTAGCGCAGCACTGAGAGGGCCTTCAGTGCGATCTCAAATTCCATCAGCTCTGCCTGCCTCTGCAGCTCCTGGGGTGGGGCACATGGTGTTCAAGCTAGGGGAGCCTGGGTCTAGCCCTTGCCAACCCCCGGAAACCTCAGCCCACCTGCATGGGGGTGCCATACTGGGACTCCTCTTCCTCAGGGGGGCCACCATGGCCACTCTGGGCAACCAACAGAGTCAGTTTGCGGTGGCAGTAGTCCACCAGGTCCAAGATGGTGTCCTCTGCTGACTCACACACCTCCTGAGGGGCAGGTGGAGGGGAAACATTCTGCCTCTGATGCCCTTCCCAAACAGACACAACCCCCCTTGCTGCCAGACCCCGGCCTAGGCTAGCCAGTGGGCAGGGCTGGTGCCTCACCTTGTGGAAGAATACTGTCTCCAGGAGGTTGATGATGGAGGCTTCATGGTGTAACTGTCAGATAAAGAGGAGGACAGGGCCCTGGGCTGCTGAGAGAGGGATAGGGGCTACCAGCTACTCTCTCTAGTCCAGGGCCCTCTGAAGGGGTGGGAAGGGGTATGAACCGATGGCCCAGCTCACCACCATGTAAATGGGAAAAGTGTTTTGGGGCTTGAAGTCTTCCAGCCTGCACAGCACAGGGAACACCTTCTGCTTCCACATCTCCACTGCAATCAGCTCCACCACCAGCGTCGGGATCTTTGAAGGGGAGGGGAAGGACAGGGATGAGGTGGGCCTACCTTAGCCTGGCAAGCCTCCCATCTCTGGCTCAGCCCAGCCCAGCCCAGCCCAGCCCAGCCCTCCTCAAACTCCCCTGGGCTCCAGACTCGACTCTGCTCCATGAATTCCTTCCTGATCTCTCCTGCACCTTAGACCTTCATTTCCAGCTGCCCCCGACATCTCTGAGGGGGCATTCCCCGGGCTTCTTATTACTGGCCCTTGCCTTGTCCCCAGGCTGCCATGCTCCACCTGCACCTGAGTCCTTGTCAGGTCCTCCCCTATTCAAGGGCACCTCTCAGGTCAGCCCTCCTGCTCATTCCCTCTCTCGTCCCTGTCCTTGTTCTCAGGCCTTCCGAGGCTTTTGTGTGCCTTGGGCCTCTCACTGTTGTGGCCCCTCCCGTTGCGGAGCACAGGCTCCGACGCGCAGGCTCAGCGGCCATGGCTCACGGGCCCAGCCACTCCGCGGCATGTGGGATCTTCCCGGACCGGGGCACGAACCCATGTCCCCTGCATCGGCAGGCGGTCTCTCAGCCACTGCGCCACCAGGGAAGCCCTTGGCCTCACTCTTATTCAGGGCCTTTCACAGTGCCCTATTCCTACCTCACACCCCAGTAGGGGGCTCCACCTTTTCCTTGCAGAAGTATCTTTCTGTCAAGTGATATTTCAGGTCATCTACTGGTGCCACCTCCTGGCTCACATTCCAGTTAAGCCAATTCCTGGTTTCTAACTCCCTCTCTCTCATGTTGGGAAGGTTGCCTTCTTCTATGCCAAAGTCCCACCCCACTTTAGTGGGTGCCCCCCTCTAGCCCGACAGTCTATTCAGGAATGCCTTTAGAACTTGGGCCCTCCCCCTACAGCCTAGGCTGTTCTAGGATCCAGGATTATCTCCCTAATCAACTCACATCCTACACCCCACCTGGCATGCCAGGGTCCTGTCCCATAGGGCTGCAAAATCAAATGTGTAACACACTTTTCCTTTTCCTTTGGGGAGGACAGGGGTGCCAGCCAGAGGGAAGTGCAGGCACCCAGGGTGTTCCTGAGGGGTAGACTGGTGGGATAGGATCCAGGTATCTCCCTAATCAACTCACATCCTACACCCCACCTGGCATGCCAGGGTCCTGTCCCATAGGGCTGCAAAATCAAATGTGTAACACACTTTTCCTTTTCCTTTGGGGAGGACAGGGGTGCCAGCCAGAGGGAAGTGCAGGCACCCAGGGTGTTCCTGAGGGGTAGACTGGTGGGATGGGGGGGTGGTGAGAAGACAGGAACCCTGCCTGTGACTCCAACGTACCTTCCCATGGGTGACCAGCAGCTCCTGGATGGGCTCGCCCTGGCTGGCCGTGGCATCAAGGATAGCCTGCATGTTCAGCTTCTCGAGGTTCTCGTGCTGCTGGTTCCACCTGCCCAGACAGGGTGTGTGTGCATGTGGGTGCACATGTGTGCAGTAGGAGTGGGTGTGGGGGCTGGGTCCTACTGAAGCCTAACCGGGGTCCAAGGTGGCTCAGGACCATATAACCCTGTCTCGGAGAGCTTTACCTCCCCACCGAGGGGCCCCTCCACGCCGGGCAACCCCTCCCCCCAATGTCAGGCCCACACTACTCCACTCAAGGACTCTGACCCCATGATTCCACCTGACCCCGGATCCAGCTGCCTCACCCTCCGGACCCCATCTCGCGCAGCTGGAAGCTGCGCAGTCCCCGCACTAGCACGTCAGCCTCCCCGGGCAGCAGCAACTCCAGGTCGCCCATGTCGGCGCAAGGGACAGGAAGCGGGAAGGTGGGGTTCGGCTGACCGCGAGCAGCGGCCTGCGCTGAGATGTGGATGCTGACACGCTTGGGGACCACGGTCTCCTGCGGGGCCGAAGCCTGGGGCCCTACAGTTGTAGAGCGGTTGCGGAGCGTGAGTCCTCGCCGCCATGGAAACGGTTAGCTCAACGCCTGCGCACTGCGGCCTGGGTCCCGCCCCTGCTGGCGGCCCGCGCTGGGTCCCGTCACGCCAGCGTCTGCCTGCTTGCCAGGCTACGGGTAGCAACCCTCCTTAGATTCCTGGAGCTTTCTCCCTCACAACCGGCTGCGGCTCACGGGTCTCCCTGAGTTACAAACTCTTGCGGCCTAGCTTCCTCCTCGGATGGACGTCAAGTTGGCCCGCCCCCCACCAGCTCTCCTTGTAGCTGCTCCCTCTCCGCCCACACGGATGCTCCTCTCCGTGGCCTCCTCGCTCCAGTATTCCTCGCGCGCAGCTCCACCTTGTTGGCTCTACACCCGAAATACAGCGCAGGGCTCACAGCTTCTCTCCATCCTAGGCCAGGCTGCCGTCACCTCTCATGAGGTAACTACTGTGGTCTTTTTTTTTTTTTTTTGCAGTACGTGGGCCTCTCACTGTTGTGGCCTCTCCGGTTGCGGAGCACAGGCTCTGGACGCGCAGGCTCAGCGGCCATGGCTCACGGGCCCAGCCGCTCTGCGGCATGTGGGATCTTCCCGGACCGGCGCACGAACCCGGGTCCCCTGCATCGGCAGGCGGACTCTCAACCACTGCGCCACCAGGGAAGCCCTACTGGGGTCTTTTTACTGGACCCATTTCCCCCCTTGACCTTCCCGAGTAGCCAGGAGCCCTTTTTTTTTTTTTTTGGTCCGCGGGCCTCTCACTGTTGTGGCCTCTCCGGTTGCGGAGCACAGGCTCTGGACGCGCAGGCTCAGCGGCCATGGCTCACGGGCCCAGCCGCTCTGCGGCATGTGGGATCTTCCCGGACCGGGGCACGACCCCGTGTCCCCTGCATCGGCAGGCGGACTCTCAACCACTGCGCCACCAGGGAAGCCCCAGGAGTCCTTTTTTTTTGGCCATGCCGCGTGGCATGTAGGATACTAGCTCCCCGACCAGGGATTGAACCCCGGCCCTCGGCAGTGAGAGCCCTAAGTCCTAACTATTGGACCGCCAGGGAATTCCCACCAGGAGTCTTTTAAAGGTGTATATGAGACATTACTTCCTCACATGAGTGTGAATCTGGCTGCCTCTGGCCCTCAAAATACTATGTCCAAAGCAGCTTACCAGCAACTCTGCAGAATCAGGCTCTTGCCCCGTCTCCTACCTCGGGACTTCATTTCTTCCCTCTCTCCCCCTTGTCTTCTACAATATGTTCCAGCCCCATGGGCTTTCTTGGCTTCCTCATACATCCTAAAGTGACTTTTGCGCCTGTTACCTCTGTCTGGAATACTCTTCCTCCTTCAGAGTTCAATTTAAGTCAGTTCAGCTAGGCCTTCCTTGAGAATCTGATGCAGAGCAGCCTCAGCTCCCATCCCAACTCACTTTTCATCTCAGCTTCCCCATAGATTCTTTTTTTTTTTTGGGGGGGGGGGACGCGGGCCTCTCACTGTTGTGGCCCCTCCCATTGCAGAGCACAGGCTCCGACGCGCAGGCTCAGCGGCCATGGCTCACGGGCCCAGCCGCTCTGCGGCATGTGGGATCTTCCCGGACCGGGGCACGAACCCATGTCCCCTGCATCGGCAGGCGGACTCGCAACCACTGCGCCACCAGGGAAGCCCCTCCATTGATTCTTTCTGGCTATTTATTTCAGTTTATAATTAGCAGGCATTTTTACATGCCCATTGTTGGTTCTGGCCACCAGATGGTGCTCCAGGGCGTTGGACCATGGCTATTTCTTTCACTGCGAGTTCTCTCTGGTGGCTGACTCAGAGGCAGTATTCAATAAAGGTAGGTTGAAATGGATGACTTTATTTATAGAAATGAGGGTTAACTTTGAGACGGTATGGACAAGTTTGTAGGTCTAGTCCTCATGCACCAGGCAGGGCTTAGGAGGAGAGAATAGCCATAGCTGTGTGCCTGGTCCAGCCTCACTTCCAGCAGATGATGATGTTGGGGTCGTTTTCCAGCCGTTCATCCAGCTCTTGGTAGCTCATGCCTGGGTTGTGTGGTGGAGGTGAGGGTCAGAAGCCTTGGCCTGGCCACCCTGCCCTGACCCCACCTCAGTGGTCCTGCCTGCCTCTACCTGTTTTGCAGCAGATCTCATCGTAACTGTGGCAGCCTGTGTAAAGCCTGGCAGGGTGGCTCCGCTCCTCCCGAGACACCCGCACAGGATACTTCTGTAGTCGCCGGATGAGGTTCTTCATAAGCCCGAACTGGATCAGCTTCCTGGGGTGAGGGTTGAGGAAGAAAGGGGTGATGCTCTGGCCAGGCCTTCTTCTAGCCAGGCCAGTCTCCCCTCCAGTTTTGTTTCAGTGACCAGACTGGACTTCAAACCCATCATCTCCAGGAAGCCTTCCTGGAGTAGCAGTGCCACATGATTCTGCTCATCAGGAATCTCCTGCCTTTTCTCTGACCCAGGGCTCAGGAGAGACACAGAGAGTGTACCTGCCCTCAGGCAAACCTTCCATGCCCCAGGGGATCCCCCTCTGACCGTTCATCAACGTGCTGCAGCTGTTGGGGGTGGCGGCCAATGAGATCTCTCACAGTAGTGCCAGGGCTCAGGCTGCAGTACAGCTGGAACACATCCCGGAGACTGGCCCTCTTGTGCCCTGTAGGCATCAGGGATCAGCTCTCCAGGTGGCCCTGCCCTCCCTGAGATGGCCTCCCCGAGAGCCTGCCAATACCTTGCTTGGTCACGTAGGATAGACACGCCTCCTGCAGGGACTTGTCATCTACTAGGTCCTGGACCTTGGGTGTCGGGCAGTACACATTGGAGTACTGGAGGGTAGCAGGAGGCACAGGGGCCTGAGTGAGGGGCTTGGAAGTCTGAAACAGCCCCAGTTGGGCTCAGCCACATGATCCATTCTGCATTTAATCAGACCCCAGACACACCTACCTGGAGGATGGACACCAGTGTCACAACGCCGTAGTACCTGGGGGAGATAGCTGTGCTCAGCTTCTGAGGGCCATGCCTTCCCAGCTCCCACACTCAGGGCCCCTGGGCTCTTCCTGACTGGCGACCCTGTCCTGAGTGTCACTGTTCCCTACTCACAGCAGGTTCTGGATGGCGATGCGCACCAGGTTGAGCTCCACGTCTGCCTCGGCTGAGATCTTCTGGACGTGGCGGAAACCATCAATGTAGGGCAGGATCTGGGCAGGGAAGAGCAGGGTCAGTAGGGGTGGGATGAGGCCAGGGCTGTGGCCAGCCGCAGGTCATGATAGCCAGCGAGGGCTAACATACCTGTTGTGTGGTGAGGTCCCACTGTGAGTTGAAAAAATCCTCCTTGTCTTTGGTAAAGACAGGCACATCATACTCCTGGGCCACAGGAGGGTCAGGCCTCTGCTCAATCACCTTCAAGTGGATGGTGTTAGACTCATCTGCAGGGGACCCCACCCATATCCTCAGTGCCATCTATTCCAAGAGGCCATCAATTACCATCCAGTCCTCCCAGCCACCCTTGAGGCAGGCAGGTGACTCTGGGTAGGGCCATCTTCCCCTTTTATGGAGCAACAGACTGAGGTCCATACAGGGGAAGGAACACGCCCAAGGAGCAGAGCTAGAGAGCTCTACTGGCCTCCCCCTCTCCAGCCCCATGACACACTGGGCCCTGGACATCATCAGCTCAGCTCATGGCAATTTCCTGGCCACCAATTTGTTCACGAGTCTTGTCCTTGACTGGGCTCACCTTCCCCTGACACTTTCCCATCCCTCCTTGACCCCTCTGCTGTCCTTACAGAGGCTGGGCCATACCGATGGGCAGAGTGCACCGGCCTGAGGCATTTAGCTCCTCCAGCAAGATGGTCATGATGGGCACCAACTTCTGTTTGCTCTCCTCCGTGGACACGAAGCTGCCCTCTAGCTGGATGGAGCATGGACAGCATGGTGGGCACACCCCAGGACCCTTGGCTGGCATCCTACCCTGGAAGGTTCCCGGGTCTGGAGGGCTTTGGAGACATGCGAACACCTTCCCTAACTCTGCCTGCCCATCCACCCAAGCCCATCGTGTTGCATACCTCCAATGTGGTCAGGTAGCCAGCCAGCTTTTTGACGATGGGCTCGAGGGCACAAGTCTTGGCCTGGGCGTCACACACGAAGCCTAGGTTGAAGAGCAGGGCATTGCGGCTGTACTTCTTGTGCTCGATGCACACGGGGCAGCCAATCAGTTTCTTCTCCATGGCTGTGCTGGACGAGGGGAACAGACGGGAACAGAGTCAGGCTCCTCTCACCCCCAAGTCTTTCCACTCCTCCTGGGAACACTCCCAACCCCCCAGCTAGGGCCTCACACAGTGATGAGCTTATTCTGCAGCTCTGGCTTGGTGATGATGTACACCTGGACGGTGTCAAACAGCTCCCGGGAGATGAAGTCCTCGGGGACCTGTGGAAGGGAGTGACAAGAATCCTCTTAGCGGACCTTATAACTAGGTGGAACACACAGGGTGAGCCCCAAGACCTAATCCCTCTTTTCCAGGGTTTCTCCTCTCTCCCATCCACCCAGGCCTACTCTTTTGTGTTTCCAAACACACATTATGTTCTCACCTACCTCCTGGCTTTTGCATACGCTATACCCTCCACCTGGCACACTCCTGCCTCACCTAAATTCCGATGCATCCAGGGATACTAGTGGATCACCACTCACACCTCTCGTAGAACCTGGCACCTCCCCTGGGCCCCCACAGCCCGATTTCCCACAATCACTGCCTATGTGAATGTTTGTTTGCCTTGCGACACCGGGAGCCTGGGACTGGGTCTGAATATACTCTTGGTTCACGATTTTCCGCGAATGAAGGGGTGGCGTGCCTGCGTGCAGCACGGGGCACGGGGTTCCAC